TGGAGATAATTTTAGAGAATGTGTAATTTCTTGATTCGGTTAAATTAGCACAATCATTTATTATGTTCAATCTTACTACATGTACATTTTGATTCACATCCTGGCTTACCGAATTTACACTTGACACAATCTCACACACCGCCTTTCACATCTAGCACATTTAATCCAACCATTACTTCCACATCATCAAGGTGTCAAAATAGGTGTACAGATAGCTTAATCCTATTATGTTTTGTACCCATATCATATTATTTATGTTAGAAACTGATGTGGAACAAAAGGAATTAAACTTTATAGAAAAGTGGGATTAGCACATGCAGAAATAAACAACTTCCCAATTTTTGGAAAAATGTTGGAGTTGTCCGTCTTTGATGAAATTTTAGTCAAATTTGATTGGAAATAGGCCAATGAACAAGACTCAAAGCTTTGCTCCTAATGTAGGCCCAATTTCGAGCAAATTCCTTCATTTAGGCCTTCATTTATGCTTTTTTTTTTCTTTTTTTGGTAAATTTTATTTCGATTATATCTCTAACAATGTAAGTCGGATTTGAATTCCGTTTGTTGGAGGGACTTTCAATTTTAGTCATTATCTCGATTTTTTCTATTTTTGGTAAAAAGTCTTTTTTATTATTATTATTATTTTTTTTTTTTTGAATTTTCCTGGGGTTTCCTTATTAAAAGCATTGTAAGTCCTTTTTGGCCACTTTGATTGAGAGATAAAAATTTTCATGAGTTTTTTCTTTCTTTGTGAGATCTGTTCATATTTCTTATAACCTTTCACTACGTCAGAAATAGAAAAGAATATTTCGTACAAGGTTATAACGACACTTCGATATACCTTCTTTTTTTATAAAGAAATTATCTTGGAAGACTTAATATTTAAAAGAAAAATATGAGGAGCAACCCTCCAAAATGGAATAAAACGAATAGTGGAAAATTCTTCTATATCCTATGCCATCAAGCATTCTTCGCCATATAAATTATTGTTTTTAACCGAATCTCATTCTTCCCTGGTTTTAAGCCTGATTAAATGGCTTTATTCTTATCTAATTTCTCATCCCACGATTACTAACGCCATTTTATCATTTAAAACATAGAGAATATGCCTTAAGTTAAATATAATTCTACATTTCTGAACTAACTTAGATATCCTCCTAGAAAATATGAATTATAAGTCCACTTCACGATCATAATCTTTTCGTACTTCTCTCATTTGCAACTTAAAATGGATCAACAAATATATATAAGGGGATATTAGTAAATACCGGCACCAACAATTAGACCTTGAGTTTCCTTCTTTCCTTTTTTTTTTTTTTTTTTTTTTTTTTTTTTTTTTTTTTTTCTAGGAAATGTTAATAAATCACCACTAGACCCACAGCCACCGATATGGCGTGGCAGATTCTTGGAGACAAAAAAGATCACAGAAAACTAAGGACGCATTACGCATAGTTATTTCTGATTGAACGAAATAGTTACAACCAAGATCAACCAAAATAGTTGCTGAGCTAGAAGATTCCAAGCTCAAGCCATGACTTCAGAAACTGCACTTCAATATTTGCTTGCAAATCTAACTCATCTTCAATTGGATACAATAAAGTTGCAAATAATTCGTCTCCTTTCTTGAATGATAACGACGTCACAAAAATACATATCATCCATCTTAACGAGACATTTAAAAAAAATGTATAAACTAATACATTAAACTATCCATTAGTGTTAACGTTACCGTCAATGTATTACACTTGATAAAATGATGAAATTTGTAAGCAAATTGAAAATGAATGATCAGATTGTTCCAAATTGAAGATGAATTACTAGCATTTAACTGAAATGAGATTACTTGGCTAAGCGTAAATGCTGGTAAAAAAATTTCATTTTTTATTTTTATTGTTATGATGTAAAATTATGTCCCCCCACCTAACTTGATGAAAGGTATCATTTTGCTCTATAAATTTAAATTTTCAAGTAAAAGATGCACTGTTCCTCGATGAGGAACGTATACTGATTAGTTTCACACTTCCTAATTCCATTTTGTGTGGCCAAAATAGACCTTGTTTGAAATTCTAAAAGTCATCTCAACCCTATTTTAACCATTCTATTCTAAAATCAGTTGAATGAAGTTGACTTGAACATTTTTAACTGCACCTATTTTATCATACAAATTTGCAGTCGGGGTTCCAAACATTTCTAAAATGTACAATGAGGTCTCGAACCTTTAAATTCTAACAGTTACATTTCAAACTTTTCAATAAATGTGTATTTGAAGAAGCTCTGGATAGATTCTATCCAAATGATCGTTAGTTGACCAAAAACTAAGCTTTTTGACATTTTTAAAAAGAATAAAAATGATAACTCTATATTTTCTTATCCAAAATAAATATATAATTAAATAAAAAGAAGCAAAGAAAAGGAAAGAAAAGAAGTAAAAAAAGGGAGAAGATATTTCTCTGTCTTTCTCACCCATCCCAATCCCAGAATGGCTACACAAAAAATTAAATGTGTTAGAGACAAACAAGATACTAGAATCTTACTTATACCAATATGTTGAGAACCGGGTTAAATAATAAAGATGGGAATATAAAAGCAATATGAAAAATAATGGATCATACACGAACACAAGATTTATGAGGATGAGGAGGAGAAATTCATATATTAAGAAAGTAAATTGTGTTTACAAGATTTGATACTCACAATGTAAATTTAAACAATTTTCTCGAGTTTCTAATGTATACGACAACGATCTAATTGTTACATTGAGTCTATTAAGAGCCTACACCATGTGAAGTATATATAGGAACTCATTACAAGTGTTTTGGATAAATACAACTCAAGGAACGAGTCAGAATCAAAAAAGGATTTTTCCGTCCAAGTAACACTGCTGCTTGAGCGCCAAGCCAGCGCTAGGCGGGCTGCAGCTCCTCCACTCGAGCGAAACGTTGAAGCTAGGTGGGCACCAACTCCCTGCTCCATTTTTCACCCCCAATGCTCGAGCACCAAAGTTAGTGACTAGCTAGCAAAATTGCAACAATTTTTTCTCCACCAAAACTCCAAAACCAAGTCTTCAATTATCCAAAGTCCTTTTACCAATCAAACTTTCAATCATTGATAAATTTTGATCCATTTTTCAATTGAATTCTTTTATTAATTTACCAACTCAATCATAATCTCAATAAGAATTTGGGTCATACTGTAACAAAATTAATGATTAAGTGAAATAAAAAAGGAAATGAAATTAGTGAATGATTCGTAAACGAGAGTAGAAATTAAAAACGACCACAAAAGGTTTCCTCTTTTTGCTGGGATATTATGGCTACAAAAGGTCAATCTGCACAATACCTACGAATATAATTGTGTTAAGAATAATATAATTCATAATTAGTTATTGTCAATAGTCATCCTATGTAGTAATTTGTTATTTGAAACATAACAAGCTATCATAAAGCATGACTACTAGCGATTGCTGACTATAAATATCATTACTCTTATTTTAATCTCTTCATTTTATGTTAAAATTGGTCAAACGTACTAAAGTTCATTTGGACAAAATCCATTCAAATGTCTTTCTTCTGCACATTTATTTAAAAGGTTGAAATGTAATAGCTACATTTTAAAGATTTCCCCAATGGAGATTGTACATTATTACTAGTTATTTTATCCCTGTAAGGGAGCCTCTGTTTACCTCCACCCTTGTTATATTTTTACTCTTATATAAATTTACTTAAATAGACATACAAAATTAAATAAAAATGTATCAATTTAAATTCATCCACTATTTATGTTAATTCAATTCGTTTTGACATTTTTATAAAATCCTAATATTCATAAAATATCTTTTTTCAATTAAAATCAAAACAACAATAGAAGAGACACTATTAGAGAAAATACATATTGAAATAGAAATATATGAAAAAGAGTTTGAAAAAGTAAAGATTATCTTTTTATTGTGGGTTTGATGAATTTAGTATTTGAAGGATTCTTAATTTGTGTTTGAGTCATTTGATAATGTGCCTTTTAAATTCAAGTAGTATCAGTTGGAAATTTCATGTCAAATTTTTTGAGTTTTCCTTTGAGATTCGATGTTCTTTTCTTGATTTTCTTGAATTGAAAATATTGACGGATATGTTTTCTACTAGGATTAGCAAAATAAGAATTTGAGTTTTTTTTTTTTTTTTTTTT